TCAATTATAAACAAGGCCTTATCACCCTGGAAGTGGACAGTGTCTGAAAAATACACCATTAATTTCAGAGAGTTCAGTTAGTTACAAGAGGCTTAGCTGAAAAGTAAAATTACTGAAAAGAAAATTGGTTCTACCTTACTTCAAACTCGGACATACACTTAACTAAAAATTCAGTTATTTCACTCAGTTTGAATCACAAGAATGAACAGACATAAGAAAACACAAAACTTCTAGTAAGTTCCCTCAAAGACTACAAAAATCAGCACATCTCAAAACATCACTGATATTAAATGACAGACCTATACTGCCTTCAAATGGTAGTGCTATCCAAGTCACCTACCCAGAGTAACATTACCGCTCTTTGAGGACATAAATTAATGCAATATGTTTTCTACTTGTGTAGCACTATCCGATTTTCTGATTACAGTAAGATGATAAGCCGGAATTAGTTGAACAAAAGGCACCACTTCATTCAGTTTCAAAGATGATTAATCTAACAAGACAGCAAAGCAAACTAGGTATAAGCAAATGCAGGAAACCAAGGAAAGCAAAAGGATATTCACTGTGTAATTCTGTGGCTTTTCTGTGAAATGGATTATCAGTGCCACTATGAGTTAAGATGCTCTTACAGAAAGTATACTAACAAACTGGGCTTCCGCTTTTTCATCTTTCCATTTTAGTATGAAAGCACTTTCAGCATCAGCAGATGTGACATCATAAGAGAGTCAGCTGTTTCAATTTCAAATACTTTAATACTGTGATTAATTTGGAACCATACATATTACTTACTGTTTAACATCCCTTGAAATAACATGATTCTGGATTTGGTCAGATACATGTCTTCTGCAGTCATGGCCAAATAACCCATCCACAGCCATGATTTTATTTTTTTTTTTGAATTCTAGATGACTATTTAAGTCCTGTCTACTTACCACAGTAACTGCAGCAAATAAAAAGGCTATATCCCCCCTCAAAAAAAATAAAATATCTAATCTCACAATCCCAAAACCCTTAGTCAGACTATTATGGCATCTACTATATTCACGCTTCTAAGAAAATATTCAAGATGTTGATGAAAAAGCTTGATACTTCCAAAATATGATCTCATTTCAAAATACAATCTATTGGGTTTTCAGCTGGTTCTTCTAAAGACATTAGGCCTTTCAGC